GGGTACAGTAATCTTGGTTGTAGATTTTTCCCTTTCAGTACTTTAAATATATCCTGCCATTCCCTTCTGGCCTGCAGAGTTTCTGCTGAAAGATCAGCTGTTAAGCAGATGGAATTTTCCTTGTATGTTATTTGTTGCTTCTCCCTTGCTGCTTTTAATATTATTTCTTTGTGTTTAGTCTTTGTTAGTTTGATTAGTATGTGTCTTTGCATGTTTCTCCTTGAGTTTATCCTTTATGGGATTCTTTGTGCCTTTTAGACTTGATTGACTATTTCCTTTTTGATGTTGGGGAAATGTTCAACTATAACCTCTTCAAAAAATTTTGCATTCCTTCTCTTCTTCTGGGACCCTTATAATTCAATGTTGCTGCGTTTGATACTGTCCCAGAGGTCTCTGTTCTTTTCATTCTTTTTACTTTATTCTGCTCTTCAGAAGTTATTTCCACCATTTTCTCTTCCAGCTCACTGATTTGTTCTTCTGCTTCAGATCTTCTGCTATTGATTTCTTCTAGAGTATTTGTAATTTCAGTAATTGTGTTGTTTGTCTCTGTATGCTTATCCTTTAATTCTTCTAGGTCTTTGTTAATTGATTCTTGCATTTTCTCCATTTTGTTTTCAAGCTTTTCAATCATCTTTACTATCATTATTTTGAATTCTTTTTCAGGTAGTTTGCCTATTTCCTCTTCATTTATTTGGACTTCTGTGTTTCTGGTTTGTTCCTTCATGTGCATAGTATTTCTCTGCCTTTTCATTATTTTTTTTTTAACTTATTGTGTTTGAGGTCTCCTTTTCCCAGGCTTCAAGGTTAAATTCTTTCTTCCTTTTGGTTTCTGCCCTCCTAAGGTTGGTCCATTGGTCTGTGTAAGCTTTGTGTAGGGTGAAATCTGTGCTGGGTTTTTGTTTGTTTGTTTTTCCTCTGATGGGCAAGGCTGAGTGAGGTGGGTAATCCTGTCTGCTGATGACTGGGTTTGTAGTTTTGTTTGTTGTTTAGATGAGGTGTCCTGCACAGGTGCTACTGGTGGTTGGGTGATGCCCGGTCTTGTATTCAAGTGGTTTCCTTTGTGTGAGTTCTCACTATTTGATACCCCCTAGGGCTAGTTCTCTGGTAGTCTAGTGTCTTGGAGTCAGTGCTTCCACTTCAAAGGCTCAGGGCTTGATCTCTCTCCAAAGACCAGCCTAGGTCCAATCTACCAAAAAGAATTTCACCTGAAATGAAAGGGCCTTTGAGTTCCAAAAACCAGTGCACAAGAACGCAACGGAGATCTCTGACTCAGCAGATAACTCGGTATTGCCTACCACGTGGACGGGCCTCCCTGGATTGCAACAGATGACTGGAGGGTCTGTCCTTGGCAGTGGTCAGCAGAACTCCACGTGCCACTTCTGTCGTGTTATCCTTGGTGGGTGGAAATGGCAGATGGCCAAGTGGAAAAGTTCCCAGCCCTGCAAACATCAGCACACTAAACACTGCAGACCAGCAGTGCGGGGGAGCTGGGTGGTGTGGACCAAACAATCGTGTCCCCTGCACATGCCTTCCTCATTAGTTTTGGTCTCCTCTTCCTCTTCCCTTCCTGTTACAAGGCTTTACTTTCTTTCTCCCTGAGATTCCAGACAGCTCTGTTTCCTGCCCTGTGAACCGCTTGACCGCTAGGTGGAAGGAGAAACATTTGGATGCTTGGGTGTGCCGGCAATGGTTGATTGTGGGTGCCTTGCCAAAGCTGACTTTTATATTCTGGCTCCAAGCTAAGCTACAGCCTTCTGACGGCAAATAATCCTTTGTGTTTACGGGGCGCCTTTCTTCTTGGGAACTTGGAGTGCCTTGCCAAAGTGTTCTTATTGATCTTCCCAATAACTTGGTGAGGTATGAAAATGACAAAAGGTCATAGTCCGTGCACCCGCCTTTTTGCAAGAGTGTTAACTTGCAAGTTTGCATCTCTGCTGGGATTGCATCTGAAGTCTCCCAGAATTGGCTTCAACTTTGGGGTGGGGGTGGGGAAAAGGCTTGGCTGCACCATGCCGTCCGTCTCCTGGGGCAAGAGCAAAAATATCGCATTTCCTTTTTAAGCAAAGTGTACTGGAAAATGGTCTTTGGTGAATTACCCATCAGTCTAATTGATCTTCATTTGTTGTGATAACAAGGGATTTGACGGAGTATTCAGCTTTTTATTTTTTCTTGCGTTCCCACGCTAGATACTTCTCCCTTCTCTGTGAAAGGAAGAAAGAGCACACCTGGGCCCAGGAGCACTCCAGCTTCTTGTGGGAAGTCTCCATGGTGAAGTGCAAGCCGGGGCTACCTGTGAACCGCGCACAGTGAATGTTGTAAGTTAACAAGAGTCGAATCTGTACTGGCTTGCCTTGCAACGGTTTGTGAATCACTGGATGCTCGAGCCAGGGTGCTGAAGACGTGTTAGCGTTAGCTCTAGGTGATCCTCCAATTAATTTCTTCTTCTTCTTTTTTTCTTTTTACTTTTTTTAGGGGAGAGGTTATGTTGTTATTTGCTGTGAACTTGACTTTCTTAGCTTCTGTTGGACACTGCTCATTCTCTCCTTCTGGAATAAAAGCGTGGAAGACTGATTATTTCAGCGTAGAGCCAAGTTTATAGCAGCCTCTTTAAATCCGGCTCTGCAGTTCTTTTAGGTTAGTGGGTATGGGGTAAAACCTTTCAGGGTAAGGATTCCCAACCAGGGAATCACACCCTGTCATTATCTTATTTACATGGAGTTTTTGATTGGAAGGAAATATGTTTCTGGTGTTCAAAAATCTGAGGTATGCAAGCTAGTACAGTGAGCTCTTCAGGGTGCTTCTCTTGCTTAAAATTGGCTGATTTATTGGTTTTTGTCAGGCTACTGGGTTGGGATTTTGAGATTAGTGGTTTCTGCATGTCAGCTGCTGGTCACCTTTCATGAGGAGGTATAGGATCCAGTACTTGAAGAGAAGGCACCCTGTGGGCTTCCAGAAGCTTTAGTTTAACACAAAACTTAAGGGTTTGCTCAGCTCTGCTGCTTTCTGGAGATTTTACCTCATTGCTAGACTGTGTCATAAGAAAAAAATGCTTAGAAGAGTTTTGACCAGGAAAGAATAAAACTACAGGAAATCCAGGCTGGCCTATGAACATATCACCTTCAAATTTTAGAACATAAAGAGCCATCTTTGACTAGGCTTTTTTTGTGTGTGGAAATATCTATCATATATATTTGTGCACACACATCTTTATATATTTGTGTGTATGTGTATTAAGTATAAATGTGTATATATATATATACACACATTGTGTGTGTATATATATATATATAAATAACTGTATTAAGTTTTCAGTTTCTTAATAATTTGGTCAGGAAAGTTTTCCAGGCACTTATTACCTTTTCTTTTTTTCCAGTTGCATAAACAATTTTGAGAGAGCAAGGTGCAATGATATGAGGGCATGTGTCAGGGAGAAAAAGCATTTACCATTAAAAAGAAAAATTCCCACTGAAATTTTATTTCTTGGTTTTCTAAAACTTTTTATTAAATATGCATGTTTATCCATATTCCCCGAGGGTTAAATAGTCATATTAAAATAAGCTTATTGAACTCAGGAACTCCCAGTGCCTCAGGGTAAGTGGGTGATGGGGAATGCTGGTGTTTTCATGGATTCTCATTTTGCACATATGATCACATTGGTTCTGGTGGAAAGTACAGGGCTCTTAGAATCATTGACCTCAATTCTCTTCCTGGTCCTAAGGTCAAGTAAGTTTGCAACCTCGGGCAAGTCACCGACCCCTGCGAAGTGTTGGTTTATAAGTCTGTGTTGCTCTATGCTGCTTGTTTATTGATGAGTCTACATCTTAGTTTGGGGTCCCCACAAGCAGCAGAATCTTATTATAAAGAAAAAAACTCATATTCAAAAAGTTTCTATCACTATTAAGGAATAATTCAGGGGGCCCTATTAGATCTGGGTGCTACTATTGCTGTATGTTTTTCTAGAAAGTATTTCCTAATCAGGTAGCCAATAGAATGCACTTCTAATGATGTTTTTTTTAAGCATCTTTTATCCTAGGAAACAAGTACCTTACAGAAAAGTGCTGTAAGTTTCAGGTTACATTTAAAAGAACAGTGCAGGAACTATAATCAAGACAGCTTTTGTTTCGAATCTGGTGGTGTTTGTTTTTGTCTTAAACCATTGCTTTGAACTGCTCATGTGATACCCTGTCAGACCTCAAACATTAAGTGAGGTTTTCAAAGACATTCTCGAGTGTAAACCTTCAGATGCCACAACTTAAAGTCATTTAAAAATCCTTCTGTAAATGGAATGGGTTGAGCGAGAGGAAGAAAATGCTAAATTCTTTTGAACTCCAAAGGACTTTTTCTTCCAAATTGCATTCGCTTGGGGAGGTAGGGGGAAGTCCCAGTTTTCTTAGTAAATTTTGAAGTTAGTAACCTTTTGCAGTCTTGCTATATTTTTACAGCACTGAGTTAATATTTTCTCCTTATTTTGGTATCCTGGTGCCCCAAGGCTATGCCATCATAATAGAGAAGGCAGATTTTTCAAAGGACATGAGCTTGTATGTAGATGGTGGTGGGTAGATGAACATGTTAGTGATAATCATGGCAGCCACTGGAATTAGTGGTGTCCGTCTTCAGCAGCTTGTTGCCTCAGACCCACTACCTTTGTAGCTCTCTGCTTGTCCCCATTATCCACCTGTCAAATGCCACTGTGGTTCTTGCAGATGGACTTTGCTCCTCAAAGTGTCTCAAACTGACTCTAAGGTGTGGTATCTTGTATAGAGAGGGGAGGCAAGAAAACTGACGTAGGAGTTGGGAGACCTGGATTTTACCGGTGGTGCTGCAATTAACCCTAGAGCCTTGAGAACCCATTTTATCTTGAGTAATATGAGAAGGTTGAATGTAGTGAGCTCTGATGAGTCTTTTAAAGACTCTAACATTGCTTCAAATATCAGCCTTGGATGAGGCAGGCTGGAAGTTCACTTTCCCCTGTTTGGCCTCTAAGAGTCAGTGATCTGGTACAACTTCAATTTATTGATACAAGAGCATTTAAAACATTGAGCACAGTCTTGTAGTTAAAAAACCAAAAACAGAATTACTGTGTGTGTCAGAACGACATGACCCTTAGCAGAGGACCCTCCCAGGGACCATGCGACAGTCGAAAGATGTTCACTTGAGCACTTTTTCTAAGAAGGCAGTTTTAGTCATTTAAATTTAGGACCCATACTCATTGGTCTTCTTGAAAATTAAATATGAACCACTTTTGAAATTTAAGTTTTGAAAAATAACCCACCTCTGTTCTCAGATATTACTCAGTATAGAAGCAAGGAGGCCGTGATCTGTAATTCTCTTCTGAGCTTCTCTGCTTTCTTGAGTAGATCTTCTCCAGCTGCCTCTTGTCAGCAGCCTTCCCCAGCCTATATAAAGCATCACCCTGCCCCTCTGTGTCCTCTAGGCCAGGGGTCCCCAAACTCCGGATCCTAGTGCCTGATGATCTGAGGTGGAGCTGATATAATATTAATAGAAATAAAGTGCCCAGTAAATGTCATGTGCTTGAATCATCCCCAAACCATCTCCCACCCCCTCCCCGGTTTGTGGAAAAATTGTTTTCCACGAACTGGTCCCTGATGCCACCAAAGCTGGGGACTGCTTCTCTAGCCTACTTTCTTTTTTTTTTTTTCTTTTAAGCACCTTACATTGTATACATGCATTTGTTAATTGTCCCGTCTCCTCAACTAGACTAAGAAGATCCATGAAAACAGGGATGTTGTTCTTATTATTTTCCTGGTGAATCCACAACACCTAAAAATGCTGCTTGTCCTATAGCGGGGCACACAGTAAATATTTGTTGAGCAACTAAGGACAGAGTGAGCCTGTGCCTGGGTTTCTCCTGTGTGAGCCTAAGCCATTCAGAAAAGAACCAAAAACATTGTTCTTATGCAAACGGCTTCAATCTGATAGTTTGGTCAGGTAGAGGGTGACATGCAAAAACTAGTTCCTGTCTTTTCCTTAGAAGTAGATGTCAAATGTTTACAATGTATATAAGTCAGTATGGGAAGGGAAGCTGTTTATTTTCACAAAGGCTTTATGGAGCTATCAATAGCCTTTGGGAATTTTCTGATACTTAAATTCTGCCCTGTGTGTGTTTCCTCTCCTCTTCCATTTGAGTGGTTTGCTCTATGGGTTGTTTGTGAGCAGCCTGCCCTGGCATTCTGTGAAAGGTGGGGTGTTGTGTTTTACAATCCCATTATTTTATCACTGTTCATGTTTTCCTTGATTTCCAAAGTGAGAGATGGACTTGGCACGTCCGGTCTACCTAGAAACTCACCATTTACTGAATAGCATCATTTTCCTTTTCTTTCCTTTTGAGAGATGCATACTTTGGAATGAAAAAATAGTGACCTGATACAAATTGAGTCCATCGAATGTCTCTCTGGTGGGAAGGGAGAAACCGACAATCACTTTCTTAGGGAGGCATCATCTTCTCTGGCTTTTGAGGATAGCAGGTATCAAGGTTTCTTGAATATTTTGTTTGTCAACTCCCTTTTCAGAGTGCAGAAGTTACATTATTCCTGGGGAGAAATGGAAAGACTAAAATAAACACCTCTGTGCCTATTTAGACAGCATTATGCTGTCTTTATAACTTTGAAAAATGGGAACTGAATTTCTAGTCTCCAGAGTGAGAGAATTACACATACACACTCTAATCAGAGCGATTTGGGAATTTCCCTATGTGTCTGTCAATTTGTACCTTTTAGATTTGCCATCTGTGATACCAATTTTTTTTATGATCTCTAGTGCTATCATAGAAAAAAAAATAGTCGATAAAAGGGATCACAAGGGAAGAGATTTTACTATTACATAAATGAAGGGAAAGTCTCATTTTTTTAAATCTTTGCTTATAATGACCCTACAAGTTGATCTGAGTGTTATAAAGGCAAAGAGTCTCTCATATTTCATGCAAGCACTCTGGGTGTTCTTTATGTAGCCTCAAGTCTTCTAGAGTTTTCTCTTTCACCCATTTCTTTCCCTTTTCCAAACTTCCTCCTGTTGCTTCTTATCGATGGCCTCACTCATTCCTGGCCATTGCTGCCTTTCGGCAGGTGGTGGTGGTAGGGGCTCTGCGTGAGCTGCCAAGAATTAAGAATTGATGTTGGCCCTACTTCCTGAATTGCTTGGCCGAGGGCAGCCTATCCCAGGCACACCTGTTTCCCTCGATATCATCTTCCCCACCGGCTCAGTCTCCTTGCCTTAGCATCTCAGAGAGGAAAGGAGAAATACCCAGAGTGCTCAGGAGTTGTGGTAGGAAAAACATTCATGGATCTTCTGC